TGTACAATAATTTTCATTCAATTACACCTTTAAGAAGCTGGGCAGAACTTGGAAGTAAAAAATGTGTTCAGCATTTTTATTAATATCTATATTGGTCATTTGTATATTTTATTTTGAAAAATATCTATTCACAACATTTCCCCATTTAAAACTAGTAATTTCACTTCAATGATTTATACTTTGGTGTTGAGACTTTAGGCTCCTTATATATTCTACAGGCCTAATTTCAATCCTTTTGTGAGATCATTTTATTGTTTCAGTATCTTGTTTTCACCTCCCTCAGGCTTATTTCTCAGAGCAAGATGACTCTATACACAAACAATCAGAAGAGGGGAATTCCCTGTAGCATTAATCTCTACACAGGAGGCCCCGAGTTAATGGTCTCCCTGCACTAGCTCAGGTCTCAGAGGAGCCGAGCCAGGCGCCCTCAGGAGCCCCTACTCAGCACTCTCTCTCCTGCCTGGCTTCTGATCATTCCCACCTCTCTCTCCATGAAACCCAGGCTCTGAAGAGAACCTGCCTCACTAGAGCCAGCCCAACTGTCTGCTGCTGGCCTCTTGCTCAGGTGTCTCTTCTTTCTCCACATCAAGGTGGGTCAGCCCAGGTTTTGGACAGATTGGTAACTCTCTTTTGCATTTTTGTGAGCTCCATAGGGGAGCTTAACTGGTGAGGGTGGCTACTCCTGGTAACTAGAGTTAAAGTTATGTGAACCAGATGATATCATTAGAGAGATGCTCTTCTCAGATCTCATCTACCCAGCCGGGTCACCACATTCAATAATATAATCATTGCAGCACACACTGTGCCTGAGTGTGCATGAAGCATACGTATTAAAGCTAGACAAAACACAGCCAAACAGAATATTTATTTATGCTTATATTTATATTTATATTGATGACCACCAGTGTCTTAAATAATGGTAGGGGAAAACAGCTGGTGAAATAAAATTTTTACCCAACTTTAGAGGGATAGGTCAAATTTCAGAAGAGAAATAGAACAAGGTTTGTGTGAAAAGAAAGAAAGGCAGGAAAAAAATCTACTTCAGTGAAGTCAGAATTCAGAGTAACACTTGGAAACAGACAGGAGGCTGTGGGCAGATTCCCAGAGGAGCCCAGGCTGGGGCAGGGCTCACAGGACAAGCACCCTCCACAGGTCAGGTGGGAGCCAGAGGGAGAAGCAGAGGTGCAGAGGACCAGGCTGGAGTTCAGAGCAAGCAGCGGAGAGGGGAGAGGGGGAGGTTGGGAGAGGAAGCAGGGACGGCTAGGGTCACATCGGGGATGGGCTGGGTGTGATGAGGTGGTGAGCAGGGAGCTGCGGGCTTGAGGATGAGGGTCACAAACCCTAAAGGTCAGTCAAGCAGATCTGCCTGAGGAACGGGTGGGGTGGGCGCCTCTGGACACAGCGTGGTCCTTGTTAGCAAGTCAGACAGGATGGCAGCAAGGGAAGCCAGGGAAATACTTCATTCATTGCTCATTTTTAAAAAGAACAACTATCATTATTCTCACAATTGGTGATCTAACTAAACCAAATTTCTTCAAAGTATTTTGTGCAGAGAGATTATGCAGGAGCCCATACAGTGGCTGCACTGATACACACCCCCAGTATCATGGAACTGGGTTCCCTGCCCAAGTCCCCACCCACACTCGTTATCTTTGTCTTTTCGTCCTCAGCCATTCTATCACCAGGGAGGGGAGAGACAACTGCACATGGTCTCACTGGAATATGGAACCTGACAATGTGGGTCTGATTGAAACAGAGTAGTGTAGTGGTGACCAGCACTGGTGCAGGGGTGGGGCTGGGAGCTGGCGGACAAAGGACACTGATGTACAGCCAGAGAGGAGGAAGGTCAAGAGTTCTGATTTGGATTCTTGTAAATGATAAGGTATGTGGAATGATATCAGCACCAGAATGACTACGGTGTGGGTAATACGTTAGCTGCATTTGGCCACTGCATGATGTGCATTTATTGGAAAATGTCAAGTTGCACATGGTAACCAAATATCTGTCCACATAAAACAGGCAATTTAAAAATGCACAATGTATATTTTTACAAACTGAACCTCTGCACATTTGTATGTACTTTCCTACTAAGAATATATTACAGGGCATATTTCCCTCTGCTCCCAGTGTGAGCCCCTGTAAGGACAGGAGGCCAGTGCAGCAGCGTCTCCACAACACCTCGAGGTTCTGCAAGGCCCTGCTGGGTCCCAGTCTCTGGGCTGCACCTCAACCTGCTCTGCACCGCTGAGTGCATCCATTTAAAATGCCATTGTCAGGTGCTGTCTAAACAAAGAAGCACAGAGAAAGCACGCCAAAGCCAGGTGTGATTCAATGAATGAATGAATGATTTCTTCAGAATGATTTCTTTAGAATTTTGGACAGTATTTCCATTAAGCAAGTCAATGCATATATTATCTCATGATAACCCTATTGTATTATTTGTTGGATATTGTAACAGAAAGCCTTTAGAACTTCTTCACAGGTTTCATTCTGACCCAAGTCCCTCTCCTGTGCAGAATCCTCCTGCAGTGTCCTCTCTGACACTACACAACTTGGAGTCTCTCTGTCCCCGCAGTTCTGTCTCCCTGCAGATTGCCTCCTTCTCCAGCAGGGAGTGGGGAACCCCCGTACTCAGAGGACTCTGGCTCTGTCCTGCTGATGCTCTGCTCCCCTGCTGCATGGCCCAGTGTCTCTGCTCCACCATTCTCTGTATTCACTGCACTGCTTTAGCTACAATGATCAAGTGCAAATTGCAGGTGTGCTGTGAATGCGCTTGGTCTGGAGATGATGAAAGTTTGGCTCCTTTCCCTGGGAGCTCGCTGAGGTGCAGGCTCCTCAGGCTGGAACTGTGGAAGAGGCAACAGATGCCTGGAAACACAGCTTCCCCTCAGCCATGAAGATTCTCGTGTGCTACTTTAGATTGTTGTTACTTTATTATTTTTTAAAATAATTGTTAGAATCTAGACGTCACCAATTTTCAAGAGCCTTCTGCTCTTGAACATGCTGTCAGTCCACTGAGTCTTTTCCAGAGGTTAACAGTGAACATCATTTCCTGCATTTTAGAGCAGGAAGGCTGAGAGTCAGGGTGGTGACCTGCTCTGCCCCAAGTCAAGGGACACGGGTCAGGCCAGCACATGCAGATTCAGAGAGGACGACTGTAGATGCACACGCTGTGGCCAGTTCCCACAGTAGTCGGCCCCCAATAAGCACGACATCCACACCCGCCATCCAGGCCTCGCTCTAATCCAGCTGCATTTGACACTGAGGACCACACAGTTGTAAATGCTCACACTTTATTCAGTGCTGTCCTCTCCTTTATTCTTCACTTATCATCAAACTGAGCATTTTATCCTGAGATTCTAGTTTTCTCTCTCTGAACCTTTGGATAATATTTGTTCTGCTTATGTGGTGGTCAATTGCTGATTTTCCAGAATGCTGATGACTACACTTTTGCAGGCTGATTTCAACCTGCACCTGCAGCATCGGACTCTGAACCCTTTACATGTGTGACAATAGGTGCTGTTTCCAGAATATGGACTTGGAGCTGCACTGGAGATCATTTTACTCCGTACGATATATTAAATTTAAATATCACTGTGATTCTATTTTCAATAATTTTAAGGTATAAACAATATTGTTCATGAAATGTTATAAAAAGTTCATTTCTTTCTGTGTTAATGTCTCAATTCTGGCATATATTTTTGAAACTAATTCATGCATATTCTTTCCACCCATTTTGAGAGAGAAACTGTTCTTTAAAATGTGGTATGCACAACAATGTTTGCTCTGTATGGAACTTTTGTTGTTGTTGTTGTTGTTTTGGTATCAAGGATTGAACTCAGGACCTTGTGCTTTCAAGGCAGGCAGCATCAACCCTGAGCTAAATCCCTGGCCCCTGGAACTTTTTGTTATAATGAAAAATTTTGTAAAGAAGAGACAAAGTGATAGAAACATGAGTCAGGAAGAGACAGCACAGTAAATATGCCTTGATTTGCTTGAGTTCCATAAAAATCTATTATAAAAGACACAGTGTATGAAATCCAAGAAACACAAATGCAACTTCCTCCCCTCCAGGATGGTGAATGACCAAGCAGCACAGCAGGAACAGCAGAGCTGCCCAGCATGCAGAAGTCTGCAGCCCTTAAGCACTGGTGGGGGAAGGAAATCAGCACAGCAGCAGGGCAAGCACAGCTTTCATCACAGAATTAGCCTGCATTTACCTTAGGAGCAGAAAGGTCACTTCTGAGTCTACACACAAAGAATGAAAAGCAGGGTCTAAAGAGGTACTGGGCACCTGTGTGCACAGCAGCAGTGATCATGGAGAGAAAGTGTGCATCAAATGGGAGATGAACACGTCAGTGAACTTTGTATATATGTGCACTACGAGCGTTAAAGAAAACTTTAGTGTATTCACCAGTGCGAATCAAATTCTGGGACACGATGTAAGGGGAATGAGTTGCTCACCATGTTAGAAATGTTGTGTGATTCTACTTTAGTGTAGTGAAAATCACACTGATAGAAAGTAGAATGGGCTGTCCATGGTGGAGAGGGAGAGGAGATATTTAATGCATATGAGACGTCTTTGCAAGGTGAAGATTCAGAAAATGGGTGGTGGTTATGGTGGTACAAAATTGTCAATGTACATAATTGCACTAAATTAAAACTGTAAGGAATGAAGTAACTGCATTGGGAAGGTGGTAAATTTTATATATTTCGGATCTTACCATAAGAAAAGTAGGAATAAAGAAAAGGAGAGAGGACTGCTTTAAATAATCTCCATTTAATGCCTTCTCCCAGACAAGAAATAGTCCATAGAGTCAATTCAATCTATTATCTATACAAGCATATACAAATAATACCAGTGAGGGAATAAAATAAAGCAAAAGTCATATTTATCCTCAAAACCTGTCCCTTTCCTTCCAGCTATGTCTTAGAGACAGATGTCATGGAAAGAGAAAATGTGAGTTTTCCCAACACTTTTGTCCTGTTGTGCTTCTCAGAGTTTCCCTGGCTGGAGAGGCCCCTCTTTGCAGTGGTCCTGGTCTCCTACATCCTCACCCTGCTGGGGAACAGCTCCATCATCTTCCTGTCCCTGGTGGACCCCAGACTCCAGACACCCATGTACTTCTTCCTGGACAACCTCTCTGTGCTGGACCTCAGTCTCACCTGCACCACTGTGCCCCAGCTGCTGGCCAACCTCTGGGAACCAGACAAGACCATTGCTGCCTGGGGCTGTATCACACAGCTCTACATTTATACTTGGGTGGGCACTGCTGAATGTGCCCTGCTGGCCGTGATGGCCATTGATCGCTATGTAGCCGTCTGCCGGCCCCTCCACTACACTCTCATCATGCGTCCCTGGGTCTGTGTGCAGATGGCAGCTGTATGCTGGTCCAGTGGCCTGGCCAATGCGCTGCTCCAAGCCACACTCACTCTCCAACTTCCCCGCTGTGGTCACCACACCCTGGACCACTTCTTCTGTGAGGCATCTGTGCTTATCAAGCTGGCCTGTGGGGACACCTCCGCTAATGAGCTGGCCCTCACCTTGATGACCATCCCATTTGGAATGATGCCTCCCCTGCTGGTGCTCATCTCCTACACCTTCATTGCCAGGGCTGTACTGAAGCTGCCTTCAGCTGAAGGAAGGCGCAAGGCACTGAGCACCTGCAGTTCCCACTTGCTCGTGGTCACCCTTTTCTTTGCACCAGGCATGTACTTGTACCTCCAGCCTTCATCCAAGAGTTCCCAAGCCAAGTTCATATCCTTTTTCTGCTGTGTTATCACCCCACTGCTCAACCCACTCATCTACACCCTGAGAAACAAGGATGTGCAGACAGCACGGAAGAGGATCCTGCAATCCCAGGCCAGTGTGAAGTCTTTCAAAGCCAAGTGACCTCTGCCTGTCCCCTGAGCAATCCCAGGCACACATCAATGAGCAGACTTATTATATCTGCTTTTCCTAAAGAGCATGCTAGAGCTTCAAGGAAGAGTTCCCAATTCTCAATGTCGGCCACCTCAGTGACCAGAATACTTTATCATATTTAGTCTCATCGTCAGCCATGGTTCTTTCCAGAGGCCCTTCATATGTGTCTAGTCTCTAGAGAGAATGTGCTGCATAATTCATAATCTTTGTTCGGTTAGTAACAAACAATCTCTCTCTCTCTCTGTCTCTCTCTCTCGCTCCCTTTCTTTCTCCTTTCTTTTTTTAAATTCATTGTATTGATACATTTGAGTCATACAATATAATGACATTCATTGTTGGATATTTGCACCTTTTCATAATCAGTCTTGGTTCTTATTTTTCCCCATACCTTGCCTTCCTTCAACCCCTTCCCAACTCCCCATCTACCAAGATTTTGCTTCCATTTTTCATTTTATTTTATTACTTCCATTTCATTCTTTCCCTTCCCCTAACCCTCCCATTTCCCCTTCCCCTTTCCCCCTTTTCTTGCTATTTCACATTGTCTATTATAATTTTCATTCCTTGTTTACACTTTCAATTTCTCACACTAGAGAAATAACTCAGTATTTACACATGTGTCCTATTTATTTCACTTAAAGCTTAGCCTCAGTGTGCATCCATTGAGCTATAAATGTCTCTAATTTCTCCCTTTTTATGGCTAAGTAGTGCTCTATAATATTAAAATTTTTTTTCTACACCAGGCTCCGATTGATGGACAATTGGGCTGCTTCTAAGTTTTATCTATTACAGTTTGTGTTGCCTAGAATGTGGGTGCACGTATATCACTGTGATATGATTCTTTTTATTCTTTGGGTAAGATACCCAGGAGGGGAATAGCTGTGTTAAATGGAACTTCTAATTCTATTTGTTTTAAGTAAATGGGGCTTCTAATTCTGTTTGTTTTAAGTATCTCCATACCGATTTCCACAGTGGTTGCACAGTCTGCCCTCCCACTAGCACTGGAGCGGGGTTCCTCTTTCCCCACAGATCTTCCAACATTTGCTATTGGTTGATTTCTTGACAGCAGCCATTCTTTCTGGGGTGAGGTGGAATATCAGCATTGCTTTCACTGGGTAGATCTTTTACCTCACGGGGTAAATTTATTCTTAGTGTCTTAGTGTATGTGTGCACTCACATGTATGTGGGTGTGTGTCTGATGTCAGTGGAATTTTTGACCGTTTTCTGCCTCAGTGAAAGTTTAGTTAATATATCCAAAACTGATACATTTTGTAAAATGATACTGCTACCTATTACTCTGCTAGATTAATAAGTTTAAAGGCATTTAGTGGACTCTAGATTTTTTAGCTGTAGAATCATGGTATTTGCAATCTGGGATAATTTGACCTTGTTGTGTCCCACTGGTTCCCTTTTACTTCCTTCTCTTGTATAACTGCTCAGGCTAGAGTTTCCAGTCCCACTCTGAATAAGAGTAGTGAGAATGGAGCTGTCCAGAAAGTAGTGGGATTTGCTTCCTTAATAAAGAAGTAGAAAAAATATTTTAGGAAAAAAAAGGACATTTACATGGATCTAGAATAGAAAGAAAACAGAAAATTCAGATTGTCTAAAATTTTGTGAAAAACACAATCTATGAATTTTCAGGAACAGTGGAAGTTATAAGATGTAAGCATATGCATGGTGGTTGGTGAAATGCTGTTCTAGTTAATGTGAATAAATGACCATACCTAATATAGTTCTACCATTTTTGAGCAAAAGAAAAAGGGATAAACTAGATATAGATGCCATCCACCGAGCAGAAGGCCAGACAATTCCCTTATAAAAATAACGATTTCATGGGAATAAAGGATCACAGAAAACAGTAAGATGACAGCCATCCTGTATTCTTTTTAAAAAACTTCTGCTAAAAGTATGTACAGTAAAACCTTCATTTGGGAGCATAGGTTGTTCTTCAAGCCTTCTTGTAATCCAAAATACTTGTATATCAAAACAAATTTCTCCATTAGAAATAAAAGAAATGCAAGTAGTTCATTCCACAACCAAAACTACTTACATAAACATGATTATAATACTGTTATATAATAAAAATGAAGAAAATATAAATAAAAACAAAAAATTAACTTGTGTTTAACTCTGAAAACCTTCATGGCTGGTGTGAGGGAGACAAGAGAGAGGAGGCTTTTAAATAGGGTGATTTTAACCGTCACTAAGAGAATCCCTGCTGTTGGCTCAGTGGATTCCTTTCCTCTCCATGCAACTTTAACAACACATATCCAATGACACTTATTTTTGCCTCCATTAAAGATTTTGCAGAAATGTGATGGTGCATTGTCATTAAACTGATTCACTTCTCCCACTACTACAGCCTTATTTGGGTGGTGCTATTCTACAGAATTTTGTACTGTTTCCACACTTTACACCTATCCATAATCTCATTTGAAATGAGTGATTTTCTGCCTTTTTCTTCTGTTCTTCTGCCAATGAGATCTCCTCCATAAGTTGTTACCATTAAGAGGTGATGACCTCTAATCACACACACACACACACACACACACACACACACACACACACACACACCGGGGGTGTTGGGAACCTAATGGAATTTAATGTCTCACTTGTGGTCATGTGCCATTCAGTGTAATGTACTACTTGTATCATAAAACACCGCTCATTATTAAAGTTAAAATTTATGAGAAATGATGGCTCATCTTCAACCTCATGCAAAACAATTTACTCACAATCCAAAATCTTATTGTGCTTTCTTAATCATTTTCAGATAGGCTCAGGCCAAATATTTTTCAAATAGGACATTTTAAAAGGAAAATGTTTGGGTACATATTTTCATATGATTTTAAAACATTTAATGGATGTTTCAAACTATATAAATACACATTTATGGGGTACAAAATGAACTTGTAATTTTTTCATATAAACTATAATGACAAAATCAACTTAATGAACCCATCTAGCATCTCAAGCACTTGGCATCTTCATAAGGAGAATTTTGAAGACTCACCCTCCCAGCAGCTGTGAGCTGTGGGTCCCTGTGGAAAGACTGAAGCTCAGTGTGCTGAGGAGAGCTCTGCACACACACAGTCCCTGCGACACCATTCGCAACAGCCAGGGTATGGAGTAAACTCAGTGTCCATAATGGTTGAATGGTTAAGAAAATGCAGAGTTGGAAAACACACTGCCAAGCGAAATAAGTCAAAAATAGTACTGTCTCTCCTGTGTGAACCAAAGCCATTCCACTCAGAGGAGTACAGTTTTGGTGGCAGAGAAACTGGAGATTGAGTGAAAAAGGAAGACAAAATGAAAAGAGGAAAAAGATTCACTTAGCCGGAAGAATTACTTTAGAGCTTTCCGCCATGTGAACTGCACATCCTGTGTTTTTCAAAGTGTGTTTTCATCAAAGTCTGGAGCTGAATGTTTGGTAGGCTCGGTTTTTGAATTCGCTCTGCAACTAATTTCTTGGATATATTTAGAATCAATTTCTAAATTAAATATGCTGATAAGACTTATCTTTGATATAAAGCCAACCATTTTTCATTAAATAAATCCGTGAAAACTGCCCCTTTCAACATCTTTCTCCATTATGGAATCTAATCCCAAAGCGGATACGAGCGGAGAGGAGAGAAACTGAGGGAGGCCCAGCAAGCGATCCACGGACAGACAGGGCAGGCAGGAGGGCGGCGTCCCAGCCTCAGCCTCACTGTGCTCCTCCCCAGGGAAGCAGGCTGTGCTGCCCTCCGCGTCTCCTCCCTGTGCCCTCTCAGCTCTGTCGCAGCGCTCTGGGAGAAGTGACGCTGGTGAGATCCTGTATTTGATGAGCATTTTGTCCCACAGAGGAGCTCCTCCTGGCGTATCTGGCATGGAAGAAAGGAATGTAAACTCACTGTAAGAGGTAGGTGAAAGACGGAGGAGGGTGCCGGGAAGGAAACCGCAGTGTCCCTGGCTCTCAGACAGCTGCTGGAGGAAGGACCACGGGTGAGGCTGGGGGGCGCCTTCCTCGTGATTTCCATGATTTGTTTTAAATGAAACAATTCTGGAAAGCCCTGATGTCTACTTTCCAAAACTGTTTCATTTAAAACAAAAGAAGTCATAAAAACACAGAGAAGCTACATTAAACTTCATTGTTTCTCATCAGCAGGGGAAGTGATCACCAGTGAAGAGGAGACTTACAGTTAAAGAGGACATTTTCACTTCCCAGTCTCTGATCATAGTTTAATACTGGATTATAGAAGAGGCACTGAAGAACCAACAGCAAGAGAAAACTTTTATTAAATAGTGATTTAAACACCTGGATATTAGCCAGGTGTGGTGGCTCATGCCTGTAATCCCAGCACTAGGGAGGCTGATGCAGGAGGATCACTGCAAGTTCGGGACCAGCCTGGGCTATATAGTGAGTTCCAGGACAATCTCAACTACATAGTGAGACCCTGCCTCAAAAATCAACAAAAACAAACAAAACAAAACAAACAAACAAAAAACCACAAAACACCTGGATATTTTCAGAAGTAAACATTTGAATGGCCAGGCATATAACAAGGTGCTCAATATTGCAAATTATCGGGGAAAAGCAATTCGAAGGCATAGTAAGACACCATCTTATAACTGGTAGAATGATTAACACCAAAAAGAGAGAAAAGCAGTAATAGTTGTCATGTGGATATATGAAAAAATATTCCACGTCACTGGTCATTCAAGAGATGCGATGAAAACAACACTGAGATTTCACCTTACCCCAAAAAGAATGGCTGCTACCAAGAAATCAAACAATAATCAATGCTGGCAGGGCTGTGGGGAGAAAGGAACCCTACTCCATTGCTGGTTGGAGTGCAGACTGGTGCAACCACTGTGGAAATCAATATGGAGACACCTCAAAGAACTAGGATTAGAGGTTCCATTTGAACCAGCTATCCCTGTGCTGGGTATCTTTCCAAAAGAATTAAAGGAATCATATCACAGTGATATATGTGCACCCATGTTTATAACAGCACAATCTGTAATAGCTAAAACTTACAACCCAAATGTCCATCAACTGGAGACTGGATAAAGAAGATGTATATTTTTTTAATAAAATGGAGTACTGCTCAGCCATAAAGAATGACAAACTAGAGAAATTATAGCTAAATGGATGCACATTGAGGACATACTCAAATTAAATAAATAGGACACACAAGTAAATACTGAATAGTTTCTCTGGTATGAAAAACTAAAATTGTAAATAAGGTGCAAAAGGTATATTCGATAGTGTGAAATAGGAAGAAAAGTTCTAAAGGGGAGACAGAGAGGAGGGGAAGGAAGTAAAGGAAAAAATATGAAAAAATGGAAACAAAATCCTTGTAAATAGGGAAGGGTGAAGGGGCTAAAGGTAAGGCAGGGATACGGGGAAAAATAACTGAGCCATATCATGTAAAGGTACAAGACCTCAATGATAAGAGTAACTGTGCTGTTTGCTCTAAAAGTACCAATGAAATTAATGGGGAAAGAAAATCCAAAAGGGCTTCACAGAAACAGTACCAAAAAACCCTATTCAAAAAAAAAAATGTGAACAGCACTCACAAAAGAAAATAGAAAAAAATGGCAACCTATACACAGAAAACTTCCCATTTCACGTTATTTTTGTACCTTTCCACAGAATAATTGAATAACAAATCATCTGCATACTCTAAGTGTAAGGTGTGATGTGGGGCATCAGAACGCCTGGCAAGATGACCACCGACACCAGTCATTCCCGTGTCTGACATCTCCCGCTTGTCCTGTCGTGAGAACACCGAAGAGACAGCTTCTCAGTGAACCTCAGGAATGCTGCAGCATGGCTTCTAGTGGTTCCGATGCCGCCCTTCAGGGCTCCGGTACCTCTTCTCCATGCGCTGCTTCCTTTGACCTCCGCCTTCCCCCTGGGATCCCTCTGTCTCCTCCGTGAAACGACGTCCAAGCTTCCTCCTGTAAGGGACACCGCCAGCACTTGTCACCCCGGGCTCCAGGTGTGTCCTTCGGCACCGCCTCTCCAGGTTCATCAACACCACTGCCCGTGGGTCTGTCTCTGCACCAGATCTTTCTCCGCCTGTCCACACGCTTGAGCTGTTTCATGTCAGTTAGGACAGAAAGGATAAGAAACACACGGACGTCTGGGTTTCTTCTCTAAGTCGTGATTTTATTTTATTTTCACAGATCACCGACCTTTTCATATTTCCCAGTATCTGCCACCCATTTCAATTGTTTTTCACTCTTTGCATTTCTCGTACAAGAGAAATGGCGCAATATTAGCCTTTGTGTCTGGTTTATTTCACTGGCGTTTTTGGTCTTGAGATGCACCCCTTTACCTAAAAACGCCTCAGGTTTATCCTTTTATGCCACAGTCGTACCCTATTGTATATCACACCACATTTTCTTTAATCCATTCATGGGCGTATAGGCTCTTTATAAGATTTAGCTATTATGAATTCTGCCGCGAATCCAGAATGGGAAGAGGAGCAAAGGAAGAGAGTAGAGGAAGCCAGGAAAGGGAAAGGGATTTTAAATAAAGAGAGAACGGAAGGAAAAATGGAAACAGAGTATTTGTAAATGGGAAGGAGAAGAAGGGCTGAAGGGAGGGGAGAGAAATGCAAAAAATAAAAAAGAATTAAGATATGTGATGTACAGGTGAAAGTTCCCCATGAGGAACGTGACTTTGTAACGTCTGGAAATCATGTACTCCTTAAAAAAGAAAATGTTCAGAGGGGACCTGACTATCTTTGGGTAAGTTCTGTTTGTAAGTTTTGAGGGACCTCTACAGTGTTTTGATTGTGGTTCCACAAATTTGCTTTCTCCTCAACAGTTTTTATGATTTCCCCTTTCTCCACATGGCAACTTTTACTGCTTTTCTCTCTTTTTGGTAATAATCATTCTACCAATTGTAAGATGGTTTCTCAGCATGTTTTTGAGTTGCTTTTCCCTGATAATTTGAAATTTTGAGCACCTTTTCATGTGCGTGGACATTTAATTGTTTACTTTTGAAAATAAATGGTATTTGAATGACTCTTTAATCAGAGATTTATCTTGCTATTGGTTTTTCAGTATCTCTTTTATAATCTGGGTATTAAACTATTTTTAGAGACCAGGAAGTGACTCACTTGACTACTATAAATAGTGGGGTGATGGACATGGATGTACAGTTATCTCTTCCTACAAAGGTAAGTACTGCACTGCACATTTTGTCTTAGGAAACAAGACATTTGGGTAAGATCAAGACAAATCCTAGTGATTCTGTTTGAGGTTTCAGGAACAGAACTTTCTAGCCAAAAAAGTTTCTCTTGGTATCAGATTTATTATCATGCAGAGGAGGAAACTCTTTTCTTTGAATCATAGGCATATATACATCCTAGGCATACATAGCAAGCAGCCACATGAATATTCACTGAAGTGTGTGCATGTGGTTGCTCCAGGAGACAGGCAGAGATCATCTTGCGTCCAAGGGCTTTGCCCCTCCCTGTGATTGCAGGATCCTCTTCCACACCGTCTGCACATCCTTGTTTCTCAGGGTGTAGATGAGTGGGTTGAGCACTGGGGTGATCACACAGTAGAAGAAGGACATGAACTTGGCCTGAGTATGATTTTCTGGGGGCTGGAGGTATACATAGATGGCAGGACCAAAGTACAGGGTGACCACGAGCAAGTGGGAACTGCAGGTGCTGAGTGCCTTGTGCCTGCCTTCAGCTGAAGGGAGCTTCAGTACAGCTCTGGCAATGAGGGTGTAGGAGATGAGCACCAGCAGGGGAGCCATCCCGGCAAAAGGGATGGCTCCTATAGCCAGAGCCAGCTCATTAGCAGAGGTGTCCCCACAGGCCAGCTTGATGATCACAGGGACCTCACAGAAGAAGTGGTCCAGGGTGTGGTGTCCACAGATAGGGAGCTGGAGGGTGAGTGTGGTTTGGAGCAGAGAGTTCAGGAGTCCACTGGACCAGGAGACAGCTGCCATCTGCACACACACTGAGGGTCGCATGATGAGAGTGTACTGGAGGGGCCGGCAGATGGCCACATAGCGATCGATGGCCATCATGGCCAACACAATGCATTCTGCACATGCAGTCCAGTTAAAAATATATGCCTGAGTGATGCAGCCCCAGGCAGCAATGGTCTTGTCTGTTCCCCAGAGGTTGGTCAGTAGCTGGGGCACAATGGCGCAGGTCACACTAAGGTCCAGCAGAGAGAGGTTGTCCAGGAAGAAGTACATGGGCGTCTGGAGTCTGGGGTCCACCAGGGAGAGGAGGATGATGGAGCTGTTCCCCACCAGGGTGAGGAGGTAGGAGACAAGGACCACTGCAGAGAGGGGCCTCTCCAGCCAGGGAAACTCTGAGAAGCCCAGCAGGACAAAAGTGTTGGGAAAACTCATGTTTCCCCCTCCCATGGCATCTGCTTTATATGTACCTGAAAGGAAAGGGACATATTTTGATGATGTGCATGACTTTTCACTTTCAATAACTATAAAGAAGCACACTAAAACTTTTCCCTGTGTTGAAATATGCCTCCCAACTTTTAGGGAAAATTTTGAATATCTGCACAACAGTCTCCATTGCCTTCACTTTATAGTCAGTGTAAAGGTACATAAAGACATTCCAAAAAAATGTTTAAAGGGCTGGGATGCATACATATGTGGTAGGGCACAGCACCTTCCTGGCAAGCTTGAGGCCTTGAGTTGGATTCCTGGTACATCTCCCTGAACATTTTACATAGAGATAAATCCACTGAACCAGCAATCTGTTTATTTGCAAACACATATCAGCCGCGTTTTTCTTTCTTCCCAATTCTCCCTTTCCCATCTTCCCCTTTTACCCTTTCTTGGTGTCCGTGACTCACTGACTTTGGTTCTGTAGTGGTGTGAAATGTGCTGTGAGGCCCCTTGCATTCAGGGCACTGACTCCTGTTCCCTCTGAGTCCACAAAGGTGAGGGATTTGGGGTTCAGCTGGACAGGGTAGCGCTTGAGAAAGTTAAGTGGCTCCATATGGCAATGGGATTCTCAGGTGTGAAGAGGCTGTTAAATAGAGTTATTCTGGATCCATATCTATGCCCCTAGTTTTGTGACAGTAAAATGCACATACATCCTCTTCTATCTTAGCCACTTTCAATCTCTCCATGGAGTGGTGTTGGGTGCTGTCATATTTTTGTGCTCCCACCGCCTCTTTCCATCTGACAATATTCCCATCAGACCTGGAAATCAAATCTCTCTCTCTCTCTCTCTCTCTCTCTCTCTCTGATTCTGGCCGTCACCGTTCTACTACCACTCTCTGTAGTTTTAGTTCTTTGAATACCTCAGATAAATACAATCCTATATTGTTTGCGATATTGTGATTGGCTAAATTCACTTATTTCCATGGCTCCCAAATATTTTGGCTTGAGGAGCCAATTTCACAGAAGATTTTTCCATGGACTGTGGATTGGGATAATTTTGATATGATTCAAACACCACAGTTATTGTGCCCTTTATATTTATGATTATTTCCTTGTACTCTATAATGAAATAAATATGCAGCTCAATATAGTGCAGAATCAGATGTGTTCTGAGCTTATTTTTCTGGCAATAGATTCTCCCAACAGGGTGACAAGAGACTGGGACATCTGAAGACATGTGCTAATGTCCAGTCTACTCCAAAATATTTTTGTTTGTTTGTTTTTCAGCCCATACAGAAACCCTGCTTCACAAACACAGAATGAATGGAAATAGAAGCAGGTTGTTCAATGCTCTTGTGGCAAACTCAGTATATTCTGCCTTAACTTTATTTCCTAACATAAGGAGACTTGAAGTGGTTTCCAATACTTTAGAAACCACTGTCCTTTGAGGTTTCAAGCAGTTTAGCTGATCTTTTAGCATAAAGAAAGTTGATTCTCTGCCCCATTCGCAAATGGGTGATAGCTAATGAGGACAGATTATACAACGTGCGCTTGTAGAATGTGAATCTCCTGCAATGAATTTATAGTTTAAGGAGGACTCATATTTTCTTTTAAATGCAGCTTTCCTTTTCTTGGCAGTCGTATAGACTTCTGCTGTCCAATCATTCATTTGTTCTCCTTTTGCAAAGAACCTCTTCAGTGACAATTGTTTTTACCTATTTTAACCAGGGTTAGCTTGTAAGTTAATCAAAACTGTGACTGATATAATTGCACAGCGCAGGACAGAGTCTCTATGGACCTGGTAAATAAACATGTGTGAGCCATGCACAGGATAAGCTAATGTTTAATCTCACTTAAAGCCTGCCAGCAGATACAGCTAGACAACTAAACGACATCAACTAACCTTTCGTTACAGAGCTTGCCAGCAGTGGCAACTGGTAAGATTCTGATTTGAGTCTTTTGCAAGTTATCAGTTTATCACGGTCTCTGTGCAGTCAAACCTGTCTGCTGATGTTCATCTGTGCTTGCAGCCCCTCCACATACTAGCATGTTGGCCTCAGCTCCACCTCTGATCATCAGGATTTAGGCCTTATAAAGAGTGTGCCAATTAAATTCCTAAAATATGCAGTAAGTTTCATTATGCTATCAGAATCTAATGGTCTCCCTGATCCTACAGAAGAAAGAGCTCAGGAGAGGATGGGAACGAAGGCGAGTGACTAAATACAGATGGAGCTTTGCTTGGGTAGCTGCTGTTCAGCTCCTTTTGTGGGGCTGGGTTTGCGGTTTGGGGACACCTGAATTATACAATGTTGTTCAGCTCAATCCATGCTCTGAGAGCATCTCATATTTTTGAAGGTAGAGTACAATGCATTGTATGTGATTCTACGTTTTGCTTATACATTTACCTGCCAATGTACCCATGGTTTCTTCTATATTTTGGGTAGTGCTTCTATATTTTGAATAGTGCATGTGTGGACTTTGGTGTACAAATACCTCTGCAGGACCCTGCTCCTAAATATTTGAGTAACTACCTGGAGTACAATGCTTCATCATGTGTTTTCTATTTGCATTTCTTTATGCTGTGTTCTAGGGCAGCTGTAGCATTCTACATATCCAACTAGTGCCCCAGGGCTCTGATTTTTGAGTTTCTCACTAATGCTTGTTAGTTGGTGATAAGAAATCTTGTGTTGTGAATCCTTCAAGCAGCTTTCACCGAAGATTGCTTGTATGTGAGAAGTCACCTCACTCTAGCTGCTTGCGCATTTAAGTCTTCGTGTTTGGTCTTCTCTGGAGCCATTATGTCTGGTGACAACCTCTTTGAGTGCATTCTCATTGTCGATGTTTTGTATATTCTCATCTTTCATCATCTAAAAAGTTGTGGACCGCTATTTTTTCAAATGCTTTTGTGCCCTTTCTCTCTTTTACAGTTCTCCCACAATGCCACGTTATTCTCGTTCATTGTGTTTCACATGTGTGTGATTCTTTTCTCTGCAGTCTTGGCTCTCTGAACTCCAGTCCTGAGAGCATCCACTGTCCTATCCTCTAGTTTCCTGGTTCTTTCCACTGTGGGTTCTGCTCCCCTCTGTCAGATCAGTGCCTCAATCACCTCCTCAATTTGAAGTCTGTCCCATGTTGTTTTACTTTCTCACTCTGCCTACTACCTCGGCCTTGTCTCTCACGGACAATTCTGAAATGTTTTTCTGTAATGAGACCTCCAGGACCTGCCCAGGCTGAGTGAGTTCCCTGTCTCATCTCTGGCAGAAGTAGGGAGGTTCTTGGTCTGTTCAGTGACAGTAACATTTCAGGTTATATCTAAGCAAACATAGGTGCAGGATGATTTGGAGAGTAAGGCTCTGCTGTCAGAAGTGGGCAATGTGTATGTGGCAGGACAAATAGTATAGACCATTGGGCAGTGTTTACACCTGGAGTAATCCTGTCTGAGGGCACAGGAGGTGTGGCAGCTGCGGACTTGGTCCAGAGTGTGTCCCTGCCTTCGGTGTCAGCCTCATCACGTTACAATACCCACCACTCAGGAGTCTAGAGAAGGCGCAGTGGACAGCAGCACACATGGGGATAGCAGACACAGGGAAACATTACTTTTTACTCTACAAAAGATTGTCTTTGTGAATATGAAAGAAACAACTAAAAAAACAAAATCACTAACACAAGATACAGCGTCAGAAGAGAGCAGATTTGTGGGTAGTGTCTAGATGTTATTGTCTCCTCATAAGACAAGAGCACTGTGCTGCGCATTAGCCACTCGGTGAGCTCTGCCTTCCTCATCACTAGGCGAAGGACTGGCACAACTCCCACATGATATGAATTTAAGCAGGCAGGGGGTGAAATGGCACAGGTGTGTGTTAAATACAGAGAACCCTGAATTGGGGAAACAGCGGGCCATGTACAGGAGAGGGCAGAGCATTGACCACAGAGCCAGGGTTCCCTGGTCCTTTTCCACACCACCTCTAAAGACACACAGATCTGCGGGGAAAATAAGCTAATACTCCAGTAGGATGCTGCTTAGATGCAACTGTCCCCTTACAGGAGCTAGGAACCTTGCTGGCAAATTCTGAACTTGCTTTTGTTTGTGTTTGTGTTTTGAAACAGGGCCTCACTATGTAGTTGAGACTGACCTGGAACTCACTATGTAGCCCAGGCTGGTCTCGAACTCACAACAATCCTCCTGCCTCAGCCTCCCGAGTGCTGGGATTACAGGCATGTGCCACCATGTCTGGCCTTAATATGTTTTTGATCACACAGGTGAAACCAATAGATTTGTGGGGAAATGAGAAAATCATGGGGATTTGCCTGATTAGTGGAAATATAGTCTACAATTCAGAAAAAATTAGCATTTTCTATTTCCAAGCTATATCTGGTTCTCTATCATTCTTGTTTTGTTGTTTTGGGAACATTTTAAATTGCTCTACTGGAGTGTTTGCAAGCAGGATAGAGTAGGAGTATGGAGGTGTACAGCTGCCTTCTGCCTCTGCCTCTAAGCCAGCTCACTGCTGCAGAGAGACTTCTGTGATGCCTGCACCAGTATGGTTTCCCTTGTACTGTCCCAGTGCCCCCTTGCCACCACAAATTACTGTCAGTTCCAACACCATTGTGTCACTCTCTCCCTGCCCTCTGCCTGCCAGGGTTTGGAAGTTGGGCTCAAGTTGAAGTTTTCTGCCTTCGTATTGCCTTGCTTTGGTTCATAGCAGCTATTTAACAACTGCTTAATCAATATCTGGACTCTCAGGTGGTTACTATCTAGAGTCACAGGTAAGTGATATTTGTTTAACTTGTCTACAAACTCTGTCAAATTTTCCCCCAAATTTTTGCCCAACAATTTAAAGTTGCATAAGAGTTAACTTTTCTCAAACCGTTTGTCTTTGTCAATTTTTAAAACACAGAGTAACACATTTTGTGTCCTGTTTTGCTGTGTTTTACTTAATGTTCTGTGTGATTTCTTCATGTATGCTACATGCACCGTGTATGCAAGTTGTTTATTATTTTCT